TTCTCCTTTTCTGTCACCAATTTCAATTTTATAGCAAGTTCTTTCTCGTAGTATTCTGGAGCCTTGTCATATTAACCAAGCGATTGTAATACCGCACCTAAGTTTCCTTTGAGTGTTGCTTCGATTCTACTTTTCTGTCTCCAAAGTCCATGAGTAGAGCAGATTCCCACTGGAGATATTTCTCAGTTTAGTGATACTTGCCTAAAGAAAGGAGGAGGAAACCTAATTTTCCGTCACCTAATGCTTCTCCTCTTTTGTCACCAGTTTCTTTCCTTATTGCAAGTGCTTTCTCCAGGTATTTTTTGTACTTGTCATATTCGTTTAGGATATGAAACAGCTTTCCCATGTTTTCGTACCACTGAGCTGCTTGTACTTGGTAGGCGTGTGCGGTGATGATATTCAATGCTGTCTCTACTGTGGTGTCGATACCACTGTCCCCTATCAGTGCCCTGTTGTTTAGCATAATCAAACATTCCTTACATAAATCGAAGGCTTGTAAAACACGGCCGGTGGTGAGAAGGAATACGGCGACAGCCAAACCTATTTTGACAGCTAACGTGGTCGTAAATTCTTCTTCATTTTCATCCATTTGGAAAAAGGAATAATAGTTATTTTGTTAATAAAAGAACGTTAAAATATGTCAATGCCTAATGATTCTGTGAATAATTGAGTTTATGGATTACGTGCATCATTGGCAAAAATTAACTATGAAGCTTTACTGCACTAGTCAGACAGCTTACCTTCTCATTTCAGTTGGAGGTTCAAACAATAAAAACATCTTGGGTTGCTGATTCGGATCAAGCAAACCCGCTGTACCAACTGCAGCTAACCTGTATCGAACTAAGCACAAAGTATGTCTCGCAACAGAAGCAGAGAGCAGTGAAAACTTCACAGGAAATGTTATGTAATTCACGAACAAAATGTTGTGTCCACCTGTACCATTTGTAATGGTCTCGATTCAGCACACAGTTTTGCCCGGAAAATATGTTGCAGTTAAACAGGACTGTGTGTGTATGTCCAAATGAGATAATATGTGCTTCTATATATATATACATACATAGAGAAGCACATGTTCGGTCGCTTTACACTACGAAAATGGGGAAGAGCTAAGGTGGTTTGAGATCCTTTGCCCGAAGTAACTGAAAACGACTGGAATGGAAAGCGATCACAAGACGCAAATAAAAGCAAAGCTGCCTAATTTCTACAAAATGACGTTTAAAAAGAACGCATGGGAATGATTACTTGTATTCTTTTTCTCAAATATTTAAATGTCGGATTTTCAAGTTTATCGTATTATAATGGCCATTGGAATAAATATACCCAGTACCAAGTGTTTCTTCAATTTATACAAAAGAGCATTTTTTTCATGAATTAAAATGTCCTCAACTGACGAGCTGACCAGGAGCAGGGTAATAGATCGCAGAGACGTAAGCTATGTGTAATTTTTGTTATGAATGTGCCACACCCAACGATAAAGATTGCGTTTCTTTTATGGAGATGCCACGGTTTGTGATTGGCCAGTGCTGTTGCTATGGAATCCTACACCATAATACCTATCGACCAATTGTCTGGCAGATTTGAGGACATCTAGATATTTACTTCAATCATTTGTCATGACAACCTTTGTCGGACCTACTGTGTGCCAAATGTCGACAAGAAGTCGAAATGCTAATTGATGTTCGGCGCAAATAAAAGGGAACGATCACTTAATCTCTGAGGAAGTGGGTGTTTACTTGCGAGTTTTTTACTCCAATATCATGTCATCACCTCCACTAAAGATTCTCTTTCGTGGAACAGTTCAGCCAGCCGATGAAGTTACACAACCAAGACTTGCTGGCAAAGCTCAAGAAAGCATCAAGCTCAGCATGTACGGGTAACTTGATAGTAATCTTGAGTAACTGTTTACTATGAAATTACCGAACGCCATCCTTAGGCCAATAGCGAGAGTTGCTTCATAATGAAGCGGATTGCCTAATATTTAAGGCCATTTTCTGTGTGACACCACTTCAAGACAGTTCTGAACAAGCGAAATAAAGTTTTGGATTACAGTCGAGCGTTTAATTTCGTTGGTGGGTTTTGACAGCATTTGCCATCATAAATTTAACCAGTTTGAAAAATTTAGTTTTAACAGAATTAAATGGTAACGGCTTTCGTAGTCAAAGTGATGAACTGACTTTAAACTGATCAAGAATGAATATAATAATTCACGTTAAGGTTATATAACCTTGAACAAAAACATAACCATTGTTTTAAAATTAGAATGAAGAGGTTCGACATACTCATTCGATGCCGACGAGCCTTTCAGTTCCGAAGTTTGAAAAACAACACGCAAATTACTGCAATGACCTGTTTGATATACCCAAATAGGAATCGCCTGTCTGTGAAAAGAGCAAAACATGAACTTCGCAGAATGAAATCAAGTGAAAGTCCTAACAGGAAAGGTAGAAGTGAATGAAAAAAAAAATAAGAACTTTGACAAAAACCAGTCACAAGAGTATCATCTGGTTATTTTACTTGTTTGTTTGTTGTGTTGTTTTTTTTTTGTCTTTTTTTTTCCCGACTTCCCCCCCTCCTACTTTACACGTTCCAATTAAGTGTCGTAAAAAGCAAATTTATTATCTCAACCAATCAGAGCATTAGAGAATTTCTCAAAGAGCCAACGAGATCTCGATGTAAAAACAAGCTGCTTGAAGCGCGGTAAAGTCGCGGGCGACCAAATTGTGATGTTTAAGCTTTGGTGTGAATTGGGTATGAGAAAAATTAGGAAACTGCTTGTGATTTATGCCTTTTATGTTTAAAACAGGATCTTTCCTGGGAAATCGACGGCGGGTCCAGCAGAAGTAGGTGAAGAATCTTTGCCTAGGTATGAAATGATGGGTGAGGTTTTTGTGACGATCAATCTTTTCAGCATGATCTTTTTTAAGTCATTTCACTTTGAGGTGTAAACACTCAATCAAAAAATTTCAAATGATACGTTCGCCAGGTTACTCGTAGACATGTAGGTAATATTCATCAATTCTCGTTATTTTTCATATCGGTGGCAGTGCCCGTGGGCAATATGAAGAGAACCCTGTGCTAGCTTTGGTTGGCTAGCCGAGCGGGAAAGATGGGCCCATCTTTTTTATTTTTTTTTTGCCAATATATAGCCATCTCAGTTGACTTCATGCTTGATCAATAGCACATGATTTATTACGAAGACAGCCACACTGATGTCACTCGTCAATTCTTCATCGCGCAGGAATTTCAGTCGCTCCACACAACCTCTTCACGAGCACGAAGAAGATGAAGTTGGCTTTCAAGAGGTGAATTTGAAATCTCCTCTTACTTCCAACACCATTGTGAATTTGAAAGTTTCCGTGTGCAACGCTTCAATATCAAACAGCCTGGAACGAGGTGGCCATTTGACACTTGGGATTCCTACTGGTGTTGGTGTTCCTGTAGATAACGATTCAATCCTCGTCAACGGGAGGACGAGTCCTCAGCAGACATATCACGTGACTGAGGTAGTCAACAACGAAACAGATGCAACGAGTATCGTTACTTTGGCACCTGATGACAGCGAACACGACCTCAGTCTCACGATGGAAGAGAGCGAATATGTGAGGAAATGTTCCAGCTGGTTTTGCCGGCAGGGAAAAAGTCCTTTTGAAGCGATCCTGCTGATTTTTTGTTATCTAATGATTGTGGTTTTGTTCTTTCCGATATTTGTGGTTATTATGTTGGTCTGTTTTGTTAGCTACTTCACCCCGGACATTGATGACTGATTGATAGCATCAATACTGATTTCCCAGGTTTAAATTTTATTGGCCAGGAGACTAGTCCAATCCCACCCCCAGAGGGAGGGTGGGATGGGGGATTTTGGTTGTGTCACGAGAAATTTTACCGGATCCTTGTTCAGGCTCTGTGATATTCTTATGATCCCAGCGTCATTTTGGCGGTGAATTGTCCATATTCCCCCCTGTTTACCTTATTGGCAACGGCTGATCCCCCTCCTGTTCCCACAGAAAACCCTCTGATCCCCCAATATCCTTCACTTCCCCTCCCCCGGGTGACAAATTATGACCATTCGTTAGACCTGTTTGGTCAACATGGCTGGATATTTTTAAATGTTTTTTTTTCTTTTACCTCAACTTCATGAAATGATAATAAAGATAACAATAATAATTAAAAGAATAGGCCGTTCCTTTGTCAAGATCGGGCTTGTTAATACCGTATACTCAAGATTTCGACACACTTAGAAATAGGAACTGTCCTTAAGATATTCTGTTTTCTGTTTCTATATTACAATGTTTATTTTCTGTATACAATGAATATTATAATGCAGTACAGGAAGTATGTGTCCTCAAAAAGATGAGATTATATCCGTTTGATAATTCATATTCAAACTTTGACATTTAGTTCGGTTTTACCGAATTGCTGTATCGTAACATGCCATTTTGGTGTCTAGAAGCCGTTACTTACCTGCGTTAACAACAAAGAGACTTAACTTGTATGCCGTGTCCTTGTTTTAGTTGCCAGTTACCCAGTAAAAAAATTGCAGTCGTTTTTGAACATCGATTACATAAGAATGGAGAAAAAGACAAAAGCACCTCTTAAGCGTTGTGAAAAGGTATGAAAAATAAGCCATTAGTTATAATTTATTTTAAGATTACAGTTTTTTTTTTTAAAGAATAACATCTGTTTTTCTTCCTTAAATTAAATAGAAAATGCGAAAATGATGAAGGTAGACGTTCAATTTTTATGCGTCTCCATTCCCTTGACCCGTATTTTTTGTGAATTTTTTCCTTTAATTTCTGTTCCTATGCCCGCTTTTACTCCCAATCTAAGCGTAGTAGCTCTCTTCATAAAAGTTTGAATTCAAATGAAATGGCGATGTCGATCACCTGGAGAGTTTGAGCGGGGGAGTTTTTTTCTGTTCTGTTTTTTTTCGGTCAACTTCCCACCCCACTGGTGATGACACAGGGCTATACCCCGTCACCCTTCTTCCGTTTAGTCATTCACCCTGGCAACGTCACAAACTTCGTGCGAGTATCACGAAAACACACGCTCAAACAGGCCGGCAGTGTTCTATTCGTAGTGTTTTACAACCGTCCAAATTGTGCAAGAACAAAAGGTACGATCGTTTTGCTTTTAATTTGTTGAAATTTATCGAGTGAAGTAGAATTTTTTACTATTTCCTCGGGCTGATAAAGTTCGTGAGGTCTGTCACCCACGATATAAGTATCGGTGGGAAGTAAAGTGACTGCTATGGTCGTTCTTAGCATGCTAAATCGCGGTTTTACGGATTAAGTTTTCTTGTCGATACTTAGAACGTTTGCGGGCTAGCCTGGCACCTCTGTGGGTTTGTGGGCTCATGACGTGTGGAAGTAAGTCGATGTGAATTTTATTTTTCAGTGTCCGGCGATGTGATTAATTGCTTCTAGCTCGCTGCTGGCGCGACGTTCTCAATCTCCATAATACATGAAGCGATGCACAAATCGCCTGTTTATACTACTTTAAACTTGGGTGTCCCACAAATGATTGTATTTAAATAGATGCCGATTCGCCACTGAGGTAAGTTGCCTGCTATTTTGCTCTGGTGACTGGTATATCAGTCGTTTCGTTAGTTAGGAAAATGCTGTTTGAGGCGAATAGATTCGTTTTAATCGGTTAAGTGAATCTGCGATGGAGTGCGTTTTTCTGCTGTGTAATTTCTTAATGATTCCAAGCGGTACACGATGGATGTCCCGTTGGCCGAATTACTCTTTCTGTTTTGTCGAAGATATGCCGCATTCACTGCTGAACTTAATGAACTAGAACGTTAACACACTGAAGTGAATTGTGCGGAATTGTAAGCGAGTATTATTGAAGCAAGAGAACTGTTCCTCATTTGCATAGTCCTTAATCCGACAGAGCAGTATGAGCTTGCTTTGTTATGACGTTATTTGCGAAAAGATTATCAGAGACTGCTGAGCATTGGTAGTTTGAATTCGAAATCTCGCTAGGAAAACGCTTTTGTCGCTTTGCGCTGACTGAGTCTATTTTTTCTTCACCATATCATTGAGAATCATGTACGAAACATTTACTCGATTGGATCACTGTGTACAGCTGCACAGCTGCTGTTTTTCTATGTTGGGTTAATGCTATTATAGTTGGGCAACTTATTTTCTCAGCCCTTGGTTTTTCATACTCTAGAATTTAATTTTCGACACGAGGTTTGGCGAAGTCGCCCTGTAGGCATGAATAGATTTCTTTGTAGCCAGAAATTCATGAACAAAAGTGAACGATGTTCGAAACTTGTCAAGTTACGTTTGTGGACCCGTAAGTGATTATGAAAAGTGAACAAGTGTGACATTACGTTTTCGAGTTCGAAAATTTTCATCTTCTAGGGAATGTGTGGCATGAGTTTGTTTTACATAATGCACACCCACTTTCCTCTCTCGAGGCATTGTGCACTCCATTTTGTTTTTGAAGCACTTTTTATGTTTTCATAACGTTCAAGAACTAGAACTGTCATCAACGTTTCACCACATTTTCTCCACTTATTGAAAACCTGGTTTTATCTTATCGATGAATCTCTAGTGTAGAACTTACCACTAGTAATCTACGGATTTATTAGTGAGTAAACTCTTTGAAATTCGAAGAATATCTTTGTATTTAAAATTCTAAGCACAACTGAGTTACCTCAGTCTTTAGATTAAAATCAGTGTGAAGAGGATAAACGATACGCCTACTTTGCGAAAAAACTTTAGTGGTGCAGTTTTGAAATATAAGAGAATTTCTCACTATAGCTTAATCCCTCTGAAAAGGAAAAGTTATACATCCAATTGAATTTGCATTTCATTTTTGAGTGCATTGTTGTTAACTTCCCCTCAAATCTACTTACTTAGCAAACCAAACTGAAAATTCTCATCCTGTTTCACCATGCATTTTCTCTAAGCTGCTTAAGGGAATCAGTACTTAGAGATAACATTTGAATCTGACACCTCCTGAAGTTTAACTGCAAACACAGGATCAACAAGCAGAACATTTCTTTTTAATTATAGTTTGGTGAAGTGAGCGCGAGCAATTGTCACGACAGCTGTCAAGATTAAACCATTGAAACCTTTTGTTTGTTTTATTACCATGGAAACATTGAATTGGCATCAAGAAATATACAATTTTTGACAGTCTGAGTTTTTTGAGTGGTATTGCGACATCATTGATCGTGATTCAATCTTCTACCGATACTGAGACATTTTTAGCTGTTTTTGTCTTTGTTACCAAGCATCTTGTTTTGAGCAAGATTGTTGAGAATGTTATAGCCAATTTAGGAGGTAAAGACACTCAATGGGTGCAAGAAAAATTAAACATGTAAATTGGAGCTGGTTCAAAAAAAGTACAGAATGTCCATTTTTCTTATTCTGTTCACATGCATGACGCTGATCTTATATCATGCAGGACAGGTGTCACATATGACTTGGGGGCATTGCTATTTATTCAAGCTTGGTTAGCTTAGGTTGTAGAGCGTGGGATTGCTGTATAAAAGCTCAAGGGTTGGAGCCGTAGATCTGCCAACACTCAGGATCTTAAAATAAGTGAGAAAAATGTACAGCCTTTGGTATGACATCTTTAAAAGGTTTGATGTTCTAGTCTTCTGGGATAAGGACAGTAAACCATACATGTAGGTCCTGTCTTTCACATCTTTTCTTTAAAAGTTAGTAGGGAATGTTAAAGAACCCATGCACCTCTCGCACAGAGTTGGAAATGTACTTCCCACTGTTGTGGTCTGGCTTTGGTTCCAAAAATTCCAAAATTGCGAGCACCTGCAAAGTTTCCTTTGAAAGATTGGTTACTACTGCTTAATGTGGTTAGGCCAAAGTCCCCCGCAAAGTGTTATAAAGGGCATTAAAGGATATTTATATGGACAATATACTTTATAAATATTTTTTAATCATTAGTGCATAACTTAAGGTCATAAAAATTTAATACCAAAAAATTAAAAGATGAAATTTGATAAGTTCAGATCGCTAGAATTTCTGCACATGATGTTGAAAGTAGTCATATGATTAAAAGTATGACAGAGTGCTTATCTGCATTAATTTTATATTATGCCCTTTACCAGAATTGAATGTATCTCAATTTGGTTGCCAAATTAGTGCTTTAATTGAAAACTTGACTGATTGTATTATCAATAGGTATCATTCCCATGAAGTTTTGCAGAAAAACCACAGGTACTCCCACCCATTTGGTGCACTTTGCTTTATGTTACCAGAAGAGGCAGAAATGCCTCAGCCATCATTTTTGTGATGAAGAAAGTAGTGCATGCAGTACTTAAGTATGTACTAAAAAAGTGGTTATTGTTGAAGGCACACCCTGATTGGCTACCCAAATTCCAAATATCTTTTTCTATTCATCTCTGAGCAACACACGTGGGATTTCCATGGAAATGTTATTATTGTTGTAGGAATAAATGGGTTAAAATCATCTTTTTGTGCTATATTATCTCACTTTTTTTGTGTGAACAATTTACCTCAGTGTTGGTGGGTTGCAGTGGATCTTTACCTCACCACTTTGTGGCTAGGTTGATATATGCCACAAGCCACCTTCACTTCAGTAAACAGTTCATAATTATGACAGCTTTTAGCAAGATTGCTTTCTTCATTTTTGGCATAGTTCATTTTTTCATTTGATATCATTTCAGCACAGGACTAAATGTGGGAAAGATCCAGAGTCAGCTGATTTAGCTTTAAGTGCTGCGATTTTCTTTGACTTTTGTTACTTCCTACAGTGATTTTTTTTTTAGGTGATCTATTTGTGGCCCATACTTTTAATTCTTAAGTAATTAGGTATTGGGTTGATGTGGGCTCAGATGGGTCATCTTATCCAGTTAAGATATTCATTATTTTCAACTTGGCCACAATCAGTGATCATTTGTTGATTTTACAAGTCACCTTCCCTTTCCAACTGCAGTGTCAGCTATTCTAATGGACATTCCTATAAGTGGAATGCTCTTCAAAGAACTACTTAAAAGAAAAAAAAGACCACCTAGAACTCCTGTGAATACTTGCTATATTTGGTAACAATTTCTCTAAGTGGCCATTTCAAAGAGACACTTTACAGATGTGTTTGTTACACAATCATGTTTTTTTAAGCTGCCCTAAGCAGATCAGCACCTAAAAGGAAATCCCATTACTTCAAATTGTGTGAATCTTGTTTTAATCAATTAACCCCTCATAACTTTTGGTAATGGTGGTCGCCTGTCCTGTAGGTGGTCATGCGTCCTGACGGCTTTTTTTGTATTCTCTTTTGTCACCTGGTTTGATCAGTCACATGAAGTGGTTCCATGCAAACAGAACTAAGTCAGAATAATCTCTCAAGTCAAATCGTTGTTACATTTACCTTCCAACTTGGAGGTCAATTGTCTTTAATATATAACAGATTATCTTTCTTCTTAGGGCAATAATTGCGCATGAACATCGTGCAAGTTATTTTCTAGTTAATGACCTAGATTGTTCAAAAATTTGATTACAGTTTATCACATAAAGTAATTCTACTTTATTGCTCAGTTTTTACATCGCACCACCATTTTGTTGGTGCTGATTATTATGAGCAGTCAATGCACTTTCGAGCAAGGTTTTGAATAAACTGGACATTGATTGATCTATTAAGTATGGCCTAAAATGGCATTTTTTATCGTGTTTGACTCCTTTTCTTTGGAACTGGTGTTAAGCTGGTAACCTGTAATGCATTAAGCAGTCATCCTACCATTCTGCATGGATGATTGCTTAATACAGGTTGAAATGTATATCCTTTTATTTCCACAGCATTAACAAAGTATTGTTTTTTTAGGATTGTTGATTTTGCAAGAACCAAGAATTCATCTGTTTCACCATTGGGTGGTCCTGGCGAAAGCCTCGCCCCTTGTGGGCTAATATTATGGGATGTTCTGCTGGTAAGCATATGACCACAAGTCCAGAAGTCAGCTCCAGTTCCCACTCAGCAAAAGAGAATGGTTGCTCAGTACATACACCTGGTGAGAATTGTAGGAATGTTTATACAGTGTCTTTTTTGACAGCAAAGACAGCTTTTATTACAGGTTCTTTTTACTTCATCTCAAGGGTGTTCAGTGTTTGCCAGAGGATAATTATATTAAAAATTAATATAAACCAGGTTTTCAATTGGAAATTCATTTGCAGATGAATTGTGTAAATTTACAGTGGAGACTGCCATCCAGGTTTAGATACTGTTGTGTAAAAGACATCAACACATTTTTTACTGAACCATTGTACCGGTAATTCAGTTTCACATATTGTTTGTTGGTATTCATTACAGATGTTCCAAGACACTCACTTGAAAGCAGTGCACTCAAAAACAGCAGAAAAGATTCATCTAATAGTATCACCTCAGTCAAAGAGCCTGATATTCCAGAACCCAAAAATGACAGGTCCTCAGTAATCAAGGATAAGGTAACAGACTTGTTGGGCCAGTCATTTAAACAAAGTTTAGCCAATGTCTAACAAAACCTTGTTCTATCCATATTCAATTTAGACTAACCTGTTATCTGAACATTTATTTTGTTAACAGTGTTAGGAGGGCCAAAAGCTAATAGTAGAGAGACATTTATATGATTGAATCAACCCTCTAATGAGAATACCTGAGGCCCTCAACTTGGGGAAAACTGCAGTTTGGGTTAGACCTTTGGTAAATAGCTGGCTCATGGCGTTTTGTTGAAAGTTGTATTTCATGCAAGGGAAAGTTGATCATTTTTAATAGTTTGAATTGACCACAGATGGAGTGATTAATTAAATTGGGTAGTTTGTTGATATAGAAAAGTACTATAGCTGGTATAAGGGTGGAAAAAGATTTTAGTTATAGTTGCCATACATTTATATGATTAGCCGTTTTTACCAATCTCAATCAATTCATTAATTTATTTTCAGAATCAGGATGTAATCCCTAGAAGAAAACCTACCCCAATAAGGTAGGGCAGTTGGAAACCTTCCTCACATTTTCCTCTCAGATGAAAAATATTCTCAAATGTAAACAGTTTTTTTTCTAAAAAAAGGGAGTCAACACTCAAGATAGACAATTTTTGCTTTTTGCTGTGTAATTTATTGTCAGGTGTATGAGATTCATAAATTGTCCTTGGTGTTAACTTGCAAATAGTGATGCAGTATTGAACTATATTTATTTAAACCATTTTGCTGACAGGGGATGTTGATTAAGTTTACATAAGATCTCTTTTTGTACATATTAGTTATGATACTAGGGGTAACTAAGATGTTCTGAAAATAATCTTAAAACGACCTTGACCTGAAACATTTTGATGTATTTTTAGGACAAATGACAACCACTGTGCTGCCCCAAAGTCTGTTCCAATCAGTCAAGTCAGAGTGTAAGACTTGTAGATCAAATTGATTAGTTGTGAGGGTGTATGGAAAAAAGCTGTAAGTGAATTCTGACAGCCTGCAAGATTCTCCTCCCCAAATGTCTTACATTCCTTTGTGGAACATAAGGAAAATTTTAGGTTGCATCAAGAGTCACTCTGGTTTTTTTTCCATATATCCTTGTATTTAGATCAGCTCTGCTTAAATACTGTTATTTTAGTGAAATGGAGCATTATGATAGTGGTCTATGGCCCAGCTTTGATTCATGTACTTTGCGTAACATGTGGCTTGAATATCTTTTCGGGTTGTCACTCTTGGTCCTCTGTGACCAATAGGCCATTTTTTATATATTAAAAATTCTAACATGGTACCCAGACTAGGGGGAATTAAAACAAAATAAATTAATCATTCATCCCTTTTTTTAATTCCCAAAGCCTCAGAGCCAAGTTTTAACTTTATTACATTGAAAATGGCTTATTGGGTTTGTTCAGGATTTGTAGATTTCCTCCCTTCACCAACATTCTAATACCATTTGGACTTATAAACAGTGGATGTGCAACCAACCAATACCTGTGCCAAGAGCTGCTCAAGCCCAAGTTATTGTTTGGATTTGCTTTTCTTTATCTAGTGGTGCTATGATTTGAATAATGGTGTATGTGAATTATATGTTTTGACACTAGTTGTGTCATGATTTACTGATAAAATTTTAGATTAAATTAGTGTTTTCTTGTCAGTCATAAGTAAGGATTCTTTTGGGTGGTTTTCTAAATAACTTATTTTTCCCTTTGTTTGCCCATGTGGTATCTAAAAGAAGCAATGATAATAATAATAAAAATAATAATGATGATAATGATAATGATAATAATAATCAATACTTGTATAGCACCTATACAGCATTAGGTGCTTCAAAAACTTGAAAATTCAATTAAAACTAAATCAATATTTAAACAAAATTAAAATGGCTATATAAAAAGCTTAAATTCAAAGGTATTAAAATTATCACATAAATGCATGATATCAGGCAAAGAGTTGCAGGGTTTTGGGACAGAAACAGCAAAGGTTCTAGACCCATAGGACTTAGACACATTGTAGAGTATCACTGATGTGAGTGTGAGTTTTCATGTTATTTTATAATCCCTGCTTTTTTTTTCTCCATTAGGCAAATGACAAAGTCTCAACTGGAGTTTTTCAAAATGCTTGATCAAAAAATTGCAGAGGTTTGTTTTCATACTAAGTCAGTTGATCAGCCAATGAAATGTAATTCATGTTTGAGGTTTTATCAATCACTGATGTTGTCTGTACAAAATTTTATTAGTAATTTTTCTCAGTTATTTTGTCTTATTCTGTCAATAACAAAATGGGAGCAACTTGGAGGAGAAGCATTTAGTGTCAGGACAAGCATCCAAAGTAATACATTTGCCTAAAACTCAACTCTCTAAAATGGTCCACAAGTCATATTTTCAAGCTGAATTTGGTTAACCCCAAGCTAACTAACCTTATTATTTTCTTGATGCTGAATGGTAGCTTTGAAGAGGTAGCTAAATTTGATTAGCTATTAGCATTTAGTGCTTTGTTTGCATTGGCTGTTTCACATTTTGATTTAATTGTCAGATTGCTAGGACTCTGTAATTTGAGAGTTGAGTTTAGACAGTATGGTTTTGCTCATAATGTTACTGACACAATTAGTGACTTACTTTGAGAATGAAAATTGTAATTTTTTTTCCTTTTTCTCCTAAGGGGCCAGACTATGTTTCAGAAGCTGAAAGCTGACATTACATTGGAAAATAAGTCTTGAACTAGTAAATTCCTGAAAAAAAAAACAGTTAGAAGTTTACAAACTAGATCCCAACAGTGGTGATAAATTCTGCATTCCATCAGCATGTGGCACCAGCTTTTGCTTTGTGTGGAGGATATTTATCATACAATCTTCTGGGTCAGTCTGTGGGCATATTTTCAAAGGTTGCTTAAAGCTGGACCCATAAAAAAGATGATGTTATAGTTCAAGGGTCAGATGCAAGTCATCCACACTGACTTGTAACAATATGAAATGCCACCAAATAATATTACCTATGAAGGTTGAACTTAGCACTCAAATAGACTGAAGCTAACAAGGGAACAGATATGTCAATCAATTGACTTTTTGGAACCGGTAGAATGTTGATGTAGTGGGATTAAGATTTAAGTTTCTCCACTCTGTAACATGCCCCTACCCCCCCCCCCCCCCCCCCCCCATCTCTCTTTTCTGCAACCGTTGTTGGTGGGCTTCGTTTTCCCTTACACTTCTCCGTCTGACAAAACCTTATTTCATGCGTATGGAGTTAATGTTCCCTCCTTCTCTCTCTATGGTAAAGCAAGGATGCTTTGAATAGTTCCCGGACAATGTCAGAGTTGTTTTAAATGGTGTATCATTCTATATTGGTATAGGCCATTCGTTTGCTTTTCAATCCTTACACAGTCAGTTCGCACAGACAACAAGTTTTGTATTTATATAGTATTTAATACCTAAATGTCTTGCTTTCATGAGGCCTACATAATTTAATTTGAAGTTAATTGGTGTGGAATTGAGTATTTCCTTTGGGGACTACTAATATGTGACTGCGAACAAAGCCCGGGAAAATGGCGGTCTTTAAATTTATGCTGTGCGACGGAATAAAACTTAAATGCAAGTCAAGTGTTCTGTGGACCTCCAGTGTGACCTGATTAAAAAAGTACTGGGAGTAGCGAAAGGTTTAATACCTAATGACTCTTTGAAGAGCTATCTGGTCAGAGAGTCTTTTCTGCTTGTCATTGGGGAAAACACACAAGATTATAACAAGGGCATCAACGTTCAAGTGTTTTATATATCAAAAAAGTCAGTCTAATGGATAACAAAGAGAGTTCGAGGTAGCAATTCACGAGATTTGCTCCTCTTTGAAAACTACTCGAAATACTATTTCCGTAAATATTAAGTCACTTTCCGTGGCCACCTTTAATGGCTGCAGCGAAGTAATTTCGTCCACCAAGTTAAAAATTTGTAATTTTGGTTCTCGTAGGGTTCAAGTTGGGCGTGTTTGGTAGAAAGCGCCAAAAAAGGGTAGCGCGTTTATAAACCGCAGCTGCGTACCGTCTATGATCATAATTTTTTAAGACTGACATTTAATTTAACTTAGCATTTAAGGAATTAGTGAAGTAGTTACAATTTTTTGATAGGTTTTCGGGAACTTATCAAAATTCTGGACGGGTTGGTTTTGAGGGCCTGGAAGATCAAATACTTGCCAGTACTCTTTGTTGTTACACACTAAATAGTGTTTATCTATAGAAAATGGTTATGTATCTTTGTATAACGATGAATATACCCACAGTAATAATTATGTTTAAAATGCTTAGTCGCAAACGTGGACGAGAGAGAAAAATTCTTGATGAGTTACTTCCAACTTTTATCCACTGTAATCAAATTACATGCATATTAGTTAATAATAAATTTCTAGTTTAAATAGAGGTTCATAATTTGTTTCTTGATTGTCCCTTTAGCAAGATATTTAGACTGACACAAGCCTGCACGACGTGCTGACTGTCGCTAGAGTGCTAGCAATCGTGTGCGGATTTCGCCTATTCTTGTGACGGTCCCCAATATTTAAGGTTGTGTTCCCCTGACTCGGTCAAATATAGGACTAATGTACGTGTGAAACGAATCGCAAGAGACCCTTTTCCGGCGGATAAATATATAAAAAGATAAACAATGAACATAAAATTTTGCTTTACTCTCGGACCCTAGTAATATCGATCGCCGGATGTGCGCACGCGTATAGCGATGTGATGGGGCATACCATGGATGTAAGGAAGGCTGTGTAAATTTTGACCTGTATCCTACCATTGTTACAGTGTTGACATGCCCTTTAGTTTTCTCGTATAGATTAGATAATCATCGAGCGTAACCATAGTTCTTGGACTGAAGAATTTGAATCCATTTTCCGTTCCTTTCAAAGCGTTTTTTAGGATTAGCGCGAAAACTTTGCCACGTCTGTACAGTTTCTACGAAATTTGAAGAGACTTAGGAGTACTAATGCGAGAGAAGTAACCCAAAAGAGTTGAACCTTTGCTGATTGCCTTCATTTTGAGCACTAATTTCGAAATATTTTCAAAAGATCTTTTCCCATTTTTTTGTGGATCTACTTTGGTGGTAGAACCCCGGTGTAGGCGTTTCCTGTTTTCTGATTTTTTGCGCGCCAAAGTGGCACTCGTCTAATCCAAATTTGTCAAGGAAGATTTGTAGCAAAGTCCTATTGATTGGCGAAGATAGCCAGGTGTCTCTAAGTGATTGGTTTAGAAAACTCGTGCTACTTTTCAACCAATCAGATTCAAAGCAAGACCATCCACGTTATCCCGCGCTTCGGGCAGTATGCTTGTCTGATTGGTTAATTGTGACATTTTCCTTTGATCTGATTGGCCGTTGGGATTATTTTGTATTTAGTCATACGACACTTCACCGAAATGCACTCTTTAGAAAACGCGAAGCTTACATGGTCCAAAAGTTAAACACTTTCCATTACTAAAAAAAATGCGGCGACTAGGTTCATGAGATATGCAATATTAATCAACCAAAGAAATACTTTCAAACAATTTCAAATATCTTATCTATACAGTATATTATATTAACTAACTTTGCGCTGTGTTATAGACTTTAAGTCGTAAAACTATTTGATACCTCACACTATCTACAATGTTATCAATCACTACAAAAAAAAAACGACTGAAGTCCGTTTTCGCTACTTATATTATACACTCTGATTTAAAATAAATAAGAACTTCTTTAATCGTCAACGCATAATGCACTCCAGCTTTCTTATTGATCGAGTGCAGTGTTTTTTAAATAAATAATATAAAAAAGAACAATCGAATCTATGGCTAGCTACATAAAAACACACACTGCATCTTGATCAAAATAATGTTCCCATGCATCATGCTATGCCGTACGTGGACTCTAATGAATACATTCGCTGTCTTCTTGAAGACACCACTCTACCGTATGGCTCAGAAAAGCAGCGTTCGTGACTCGCCGGAGTCCATTCAAATTTTTCCAAGTCATTCCAGACGTCCATTTGCACGGGCGATACAACGGCCAGAGGAGGAAGTCTCGCCGGTGCATGCGTCACAGGCGGAGAATAAAACTCCTGTGTATCCTGGTTTCGCGCCTTTATTTGTGCCACGCGCTCTTTTGCAGCCGCCTTACGCTGACTGGCTTCCCGCGTCAAATGCGCATCCAACTCAGCGCGTGCCATGGCTGTCTCTGCTTGACGTAACAACTGCCGGTGTTCCATGTATCGACGTACCAGAGCTTGTTGATCTTGTGAGACTTCTTTCCCCTTGCGCACGGTATCTTCAATTTCTTGCACACGTTCGTCTCTCTGTGAGGCGCGGTCATGGCGCTGCAACGCGTTGGAAATGGATGTGTGCTGACAGTTAAAGTCTGATATGAACGCCCAATCCGCCCGTCTTGATTTCAGTTGTTCCGCAGTAACAGCTCGTGCTGTCGACAGCCGTTCGTGTTCAATAACTTCCTTCGCTTGCCGCTCTTTGAGAGCCTCGGCGGTTCTAACACCATCTCGAACTCTCCTCCTTAGCGATGCTTCCTTGTACTCCTGTTTAAATATTTTGACGCGTTCTTTAGCTTGTTCACGGTCTTCTCTCATCTGTGCCACTGTGATGGCTTTTGAAGAGACAGTGTCAGCTCGCTCCCTTTCTCTGTAGGCATGCTGAACGGCTCGTAAACACGCCAAGCCCATCGTGCCGTGAGTGCGGATGAATAGTCTTTGATCCGTGGTAACCGTTTGACGTTTAGTAACAACTTTCTTTGGTTCCTCAGCCGCTCTTTTTTCTATTTCCCTTGCAGCCTCTCTAACATCCTTTCCAGCCTCTTGTTTAGAAATTAGCATCTCACGCAGCGGGTCAGTTTTTTGAATCGGGGGGCGAAGACCCGACAATCGAAATCGTTGCTTCTTCGGTTCATGCTCAGTGTCGTTCGGTTCGCATTCGGTGCGCGGCTGCGAGTCGACAACTCGCCCCAGGAAAACTCGCACAGTGGTGTACTTCCCAATTCGGTCTGGCTTTTTCCTCTTTCCCTCTTTATCCTCTATTTTTTGTTCCTCCTTCTGTAGTTCCCTGCTTTTCGCTCGGATGTCATTTCGTGTGGCTAACTTGATCCGCATCGACTCACGACTTTCAATCATACTTTTCCTGGACTTGATATCGATCAGACCCAGGTTCTTATGAATAGTCACAGCTTCCTTTTTAGCTCTAATTACGTCAGAAGTACTAGTTTCCAGCTTCCTAAGGTTCAAAGAAATTCTAGTAGTTATTCTAACCGGGAAGCTGTCTTTTCTTGGAATCTCAAGATCTTCTACCGGAGAAGTTGTAACTCTTCCCTCTGTTCTTCTTTCGCCTTCTTCAATGATGCTGCTGATAGGTTCCACGGTTATGGACACATTACGACTACGAGGGCGTCTTGCAATCCTCCCAGCGGAAGCCCTTGGACTGATCGGATAACCGGGTTTTATTCCATGCAAATACGTCTCGTAATCAAAGCGAGTCAAGGATGAGTTGGAACGGCTGGGGGCTGGGGATGTTGGTGGTGGTAGGGTACCCCCTGCTGTGTATCCTTTGTAGTGACGGTAATACCGCTGAATGGAGACTGCAGCCCTGATGACGAGACGAAAAATAGCTACTTGAGGAACAGGCTTAGTTAGTTACTTAGGCCCACGAACGGGAGGAACAGAGAACGTTCATGGTCACACATGTCTCTCCTTTCATTTTCTTTCAAATATGGGAAAGTTACGGGTACACCAGTTACATCAAGATAACAACCTTCCGCGAAAGTTTATCAATTCTCATTTTCGGTTTGTTTGATATTGTAAGAGGTTAAGCACTTTTCGCTTCTGGGCGTTAAAAGGGTGAACAACAAGTGAGGTCAAAAAAAAACATTTGGTACCTCTTTGGAGTAAAAATGGATGCGATAAACACCAAGAACAAGGGTTGCTGACACAGAATAGTGGCAGTCAAGAATTCCTCTTGAAAATTTTTAAAGTTGTGATAACATCAGATTTGGCTTTAAAACACCCCAATTGAAATGCACTCTGGACTTAAAATCCTGGATTTGTACCGGCTTCCTTTAACTCATTAAACCCTGAGAGTGACCAGCATCTTATTTTTCCGAACAGTAATACTGTTTAATCATTCATTACCCACTGAACTACCAAATCTACTGAGAAGTCCTAGTGTGTCACAGCAAATGTATTAATTATTTTTCAAAATTTTAACTTGTTATAGAGGCCAGCGTATTTAACATCTCCAGTGCAAGAGATTTGACCATTACCCTAACTTTTGATGTACTGAGTAGGTCATGGAGGCACACAGTATTCAAATTGTGTGACATACTCTGTACCTTACGCAAGCAGTAATGGGGTTAAGAGAAAAGATTGCCTAAGAACCTAATTGATTGTTGAACAAATTCTCTTTGGATTTGGAAATGTAAAGAGAGTAGTATGGAGAATATGGATGACAATCTTAGGGTGTAATGGGTTAAGACTATTAACCCAACTATGTTTGAGTCAAGGCACATTTTAACTTAAATTTACTTCAGTCTCACCATAATCTCATGTCCTGAATGAACTTAAACCTTAATCTTGACAAGTGTCCACGGATGTATCTTTGTATTATCAACACTGGGCAATATTTTGCCTGAATTTCATTCACTTCAGCTGTAAGCCTGTGAACTTCTTTCAGTGCTTCCTCATAAGTGTTCTCCTGAAAGAACCAAAATAAATTGATCTTTCTAAACTTGACACCTGACAATTTATTAAGAGAGGTTACTATGCCACACTGTATGATACAGGCTACTTCATTACAATTACAGGTTTTAAATTTCTCAAAGACTTTACCTTTATCACCATGCTAAACAATATAGAAATATGCTGAACATCAAAATGATTCACAACAGCTTTACTTTAAAGAAATATGTCACGGATTTATTATGAACAAGGGACAAAGTAACATCTGTCCTGTGTGAGGATTCAAACCTCTTGATCAAATCTGATCAAGAGGTTTTCTGTTTTGTACTGGAAATAAATAATTTCAAACGCCCCTTCAAGCTTCACAGAGTTAACACCAATTGATTTTGAAAAAACAATTTTATCTTATTTATTTGATGCAACTGAGGTCAGGTGATTTGATTGAGAGCCAGGCCAGATACTAAGTACAAGGTTTTTCTTACCTTTGTTAGAGAACAAGAACAGTCAATGTAAAAACTTGATCGCAAAGGTGCAAAGCGACCACCAAAAGATGAATCCTCTATGATTTCTTCGTCAGAAATCACATAATTGTCAAGGGACTTTAAGGTCCACAAACTGTTCACCAAATGGTGTCTGTAGTTTGGTTTTAGGCTGAGAGGAGTGTCATTTAGAGTCAGAATAGAAATGCTGGAAGATGCAGCCATGTAGTTCACAT